CTTTACAAGAGATGTCCGAGATATTGTCAAAGTTCTTTATGAATTTATTGTTAGTAGTTATTTATAGTTATACTTGTATATTAGTAGTTAAGCTAATCAATAAGTTTTATAAATATTTTTTTGTGTACCTAGCAACTTAGATGCATTATTAGTTCATTAATGCTCAACATAGCTTTTTTGCTTTTGTCTTGGTCAAATGAGGAGTCTTTGTGTTAATTAAGAAATCTATGGTGAAAGAATTGAAATCTTTGCGTTATAATCTTTGTAAAAGAATATAGAATGTATTATATAGAATAAGACAATTGATACCTGAAGGTCTTATTACTTGAAATAGCATGTAAAGAACAGTTTCTAACGTAAACAAAGGCCACATTTTAACAACCAATTAGGATCGAGATATCCACAATACGTCACTTGCAGGTATCCCATTTATCTTATATGACGGATAATAAATAAATAATTGGTTAAGGAACATGTAATACCCTTCCTTTTTTTTCAAATCTTTGGAACTATTAACTAGCAAACATCCATGACACCTTTAAAATATTTGAAAAATAAAATGTAATAGTCTATAATTTAATTCAAATCTGAGATTTTACATGGGCTTGTAGCGTCTCAAATTACTTTTTAATACTTGTGAAATTTATGACGATTTCCTTTGTATAAAGTTTATTCGGAAAAAAAATGTTTTCGTCACAAAATCTTGCATACTTTTATAATTGTTTAGTTATTTCCGATGCAAAATAAGCAACATTTTGTGCCCGTCATCGATCTGATAATAAGCCTCTATTTCCTCTCCCCCCCTTTTTTTTGAGAACTTCCTTAACGGATAAAAGTCACAGTTTTATCAAAACCAAGCAGAAAATCACATTTTATTTGCCTTTCCGGATGTTTTAACAGATACTTTACATTGTTCGTCTTTAATAGTTGTTCTTCTTGGTATTAAAAAGTATCAACCAAATGGTTTTGTTACTGTAAAACGATTTAATAAGTCTTTAAAAGTAATTTACCACATTTGGTGAATAATTTCTCATAACTTTTGTCGTCTATAAAGTAAGTTTCATTTTTCAGTTATCTAATATACGGTATATTTATTTTGTATCTGAATGAAATCTATAATATTTAAAAACTGTTTTAAGAATTCATTTTTATGTGTAAGAAATTGGAACGAATGTTTACATGCATTAATTTACGTATAGTAATTCACCACATATGTGGTAAAAGTAATTTACCACATTTGGCTAATAATTTCTCATAACTTTTGTCCTTTATAAAGTAAGTTTAATTTTTCAGTTATCTAATATACGGTATATTTAATTTGTGTCTGAATGAAATTTATAATATTTAAAAACTGTTTTAAGAATTCATTTTTAGGTGTAAGAAATTGGAACGAATGTTTACATACATTAATTTGCGTATAGTAATTCACCACATATGTGGTAAAAGTAATTTACCACATTTGGCTAATAATTTCTCATAACTTTTGTCCTCTATAAAGTAAGTTTCATTTTTCAGTTATCTAATATACGGTATATTTAATTTGTATCTGAATGAAATTTATAATATTTAAAAACTGTTTTAAGAATTCATTTTTCTGTGTAAGAAATTGGAACGAATGTTTACATGCATTAATTTACGTATAGTAATTCACCACATATGTGGTAAAAGTAATTTACCAAATTTGGCTAATAATTTCTCATAACTTTTGTCGTCTATAAAGTAAGTTTCATTTTTCAGTTATCTAATATACGGTATATTTAATTTGTATCTGAATGAAATTTATAATATTTAAAAATTGTTTTAAGAATTCATTTTTATGTGTAAGAAATTGGAACGAATGTTTACATGCATTAATTTGCGTATAGTAATTCACCACATATGTGGTAAAAGTAATTTACCACATTTGGCTAATAATTTCTCATAACTTTTGCCCCCTATAAAGTAAGTTTCATTTTTCAGTTATCTAATATACGGTATATTTATTTTGTATCTGAATGAAATTTATAATATTTAAAAACTGTTTTAAGAATTCATTTTTATATGTAAAAAATTGTTTACATAAATTAATTTGCGTATAGATCGTTTGATGAAAAGAGCATTTACAATGTAATAAACTAAAATTATTTCAATGCTTTTTACTTTTTATAATCTTAAATTTAGTTCTTAATATTTCTTCATTTATTTTTTTTCAAAGAAATCGAACATGTCTTAAGCAATAATAATATCTAGATTATTCTTGAAATCCATCATTTTTATAGCATTTGAGTGTATAAATTTAATCACTGTTTTTTATCAGAAGTAGCAAACCGATGATTTCAGCAACAGATTACAGCAATGCTTTAAGCGTTGTTTTCATTTCATCTTCCTACTTAGTATAAGCTTGATTGAATAATGAAATTAAAATCAATGTCACTGTATTTTGTAAAACCTGCTTTTCGTACAGCCAGCTAAAAAAACTGTCACTATGAATATTTTATATTCCTAATGATCTGATTTTTAGATACTCAGTGCCAATTTTAATCATTACATTTAATTAGAAAATATCTGCAAAAGACAGACTGTCTGGTGATTTTTTTTTAAAGCTGTACATTTGAGTACATTAGATTTCTATGTTAATCCGTAATAAACGCGTCCCGCAGTGGACTGATCGTTAAGACACGGTTCCCAGCAGATCTCCGAAGTCAAGCATCACTGGCTGCTGTCAGTGTGCGGGTGGGTGACAACTTGGATCAGCCTGCGTAGGGACCGAGGGTGTGCGGTATTGGTCCTGTTAAACTGTTCTACCGTAAAGTGCTCGACTTCGCGTGCAGGTCGTCGGGCTACCGAAGCGGGGGTGCCATCTTCTCCGCAGAGGATCAAAATTGTGATGGCATGTCTTCGGATCATCCTCAGGGATGTTTCCCAGACCGTCGCCAATAGCCCATTGTGCAGCTCTAGTGCGACGTAAATGAACAACAACAACAATCCGTAATAAACGCGATAACTTTTGAGTACTCGAACCTACTACTGTTAACGTGAGTTTAAAAATTTAGTTTCTTTAGCCAACCGGTACTTCAAGGACTTGCATTTGATAGTTTGTAACTAAACGCTAATATAGTTACAAAATTTTAAAAAAAGACCAGGTTAGTAGCGAAAATGTTGTGGACTGTGGCATAAAAAGGTATCAAGCTCGTTTTCTTAAATGATGCAAGAATCTCACTCCTTAATAGCGATTTGAGAAGCATACAATTGCTTAATTGAAGTTTATCGTAGGAAATTCCTAAAACAGAATGAATTACATACGCTTCTATGTTACTCGCTCACAATGTTCATATATTTTTTCTTGTCTTGACCAGAATATATAGGTGTCTCCGCCAAAATTTGAGGTTTTATTCTCTCGTGTATATTCCTAATTTCAAGCAATTCAAAACATACCATTCTCTTCATATTACTGAGATAACCCCAGTAACCTCGAGACTCAAACCTGCGAACTTATCTGTTGTTAGTAAAGAATTTTTATTCATAACTTCCAGAAATCAACTGACAAAATAAACTTCGATCTTTAAGCAAAGAAAAACCTACAAATTATTATTCATTTGAGTGATGGAATGGCACAATACAGAGAAAGTCAGATTCAACCATCCAGCATTACGACTGGAATTAAACGTGTGCTAATCCCATCTACATGTTTTTTATTTTGTCACATACATATGCAGTAGTAGTAGTTCATTTACGTCGCACTAGAGGTGCATAATGGGCGATTGGCGACTGTCTGGGAAACATCCCCGAGGATGACCCGAAGGCATGCCATCAGAATTTTGATCCTCTGCAGATGGGATGGCACACCCGCTTCGGTAGCCCAACGACCTGCACGCGAAACCGAACACTTTAAAGTAAAACAATTTAACGAGGACCAATACAGCACACCCTCGGTTCAAGTGGTCACCTACCCGCACACTGACCACAGCCAGTGAAGCTTAACTTCGGTGATCTGCTGGGAACCGTGCCTTAACGATCAGTCCACTGCAGGGCTCACATACATATGCAGGCGTCCCATAGGACTGGTCGTAAGACGCGGTTTCCAGTTGATCATCAAAATCAAGCATCACTGGCATAGGGGAGTAGGCGGGTGTGTGACCCTTTCATCAGCCTGAGAAGAGATCGAAGGTGAGTACCACCAGTCCTCGTGTTCCACCATAAAATGCTCATCTTCGTGGAGCAGTCGTCTATCTACCAAGGATGGTGAGCTTCTCTGCATCTTCTCTGTAGAAGATCAAAATTGTAACGCCATGTCTTCGAATCATCCCTTCCAGACCGTTGTGCAGCTTTGGATGGACGTAAAGTACAGCTACTTTTCCCCCCGGAAAAATCGTCTGTTTAAGTACACGTCGTATTAGAGCTACACTAATGAATTATAGGTAATGATTCATACTTAATGGTGAGGCAGTGACAAAACTGGCTCGCGTGATATTTCAACTTAAACAGGAGAGAGCAGAACCCTTTAGAAGCAAAGCCCAGCCCAAGCAGTGATAGGTGTCCTCAAGAACGTATTTTCAGAGTAAAAAATATATACGGTGGAGATCAAACTTCTGGTAGTTTGACATCGTACTTTTATTTATCTATTATTTACTTTTTGGCACAAATGTATTCAGCACAAAGTACGGCTTGTGAACCCTTATCAAGTTGACGAACAGGTAGCATGAATTGATGTCCCGCAGTGGACTGATCGTTAAGACACGGTTCCCAGCAGATCACCCAAGTAAAGCATCACTGATTACGGTCAGTGTGAGTGTGGATGACCACTTGGATCAGTCTGCGTGGGGACCGAGAGTGTGCGGTATGGGTCCTCGTTAAACTGTTCTACCGTAAAGTACTCGACTTCGCGTGCAGGTCGTCGAGCTACCGAAGCGGGGGTGCCATCCCCTCTGCAGAGGATTAAAATTGTGATGGCATGTCTTCGGATCAACCTCAGGGATGTTTCCAGACCATCGCCAACAGTCCATTGTGCAGCTCTAGTGCGACGTAAATGAACAAACAACAGCATGAATTTATAAAGCACAAATATACATCCAGAGTTAAGGTGGGATTTTATCCCACTACCCAAAACGCTACGGAGTGCTTAACGGAACGACGAGACCTCTGGGACAAGGAAGGCCCTACACTTTTTTTACTAACTGTTACCTATTGTTGCCGGTTTGTGTACTCATTACAAAGAGGACTTATGACCTCTTCTAAAGTTTGAGAGCAGATATCAAAAATTAGTGAAAGGCGTCCCGAAGTTACATACGGGATTCGAGCTCGCTACCTCCACGCTGTTAACAGTTCGGTGGATTTGCGAGAATGCTAGGCCAATGAGGTGCCTGTTTCTATGTTTTAGGAAATGAAAGGTGCCTTGAAAGGAACTGTTAACCGGAAGCGTTTTCAATGTATTTCATCACTCATGCTATCAACTATACTTTTACTTTAGCCGGCAATTGTGCCTAATAGATAAGGCATTTGTTTCTCGCTTTAATGTCATTCAAACTTTTAATTAAATCCTGTTGCTTGTAGTGTTTTCTTCAAATATTATAGCTAGCTGCTTTTTAAAAGTTTCAAGAATTTGTTCCAAGTGAATTATAGGTTTGTTTTTATTTTTGCAGTATATTAGAAAAACCATACATTATCATGAAACGTTTTGAAATTTACTGTAAATGTGTTTTCAAATTATAATCGGTTTTTTAAAGTTACTCAACTATGATTTGAGAATTCCCTCAGTTTAAAAACTTGTAATAATACCAATTCACATGCTTTCATTTTTATGCACTTATACATTACAATTGCAAAATATATCTAAGTTTAAATTTTAATGAAAAATCAAACAATTCTTTATTGTCATTAGAAAACTTTTAGAATACGGAATAGGCTTTCTAATTTTATTTTCATATGTATATTTAATTTCTTATAGGTCCTGTTAATCGCAATTAATGCTAATTTTATGAAGACAGTTTGAGCTATTAACACAGATATCACGAAAAGATTAGCAAATTTTACGCGGATATTTTTTTATTGATATTTCCAGAATAGATTGCTTTTTCCTTTGAAATATTTTATGCTATACATTTTATAAGGATTCTATACATATATATTAAAACAAATCCTTACAGAACACTCTAAAAACCTAAAGCTAAATTTATTCAACTCACTAAAAGGTTACTATGGTCTAAGCTTTTTTAATCTCAAGAATTAAAGCCTAACCGGATTAAGTCAAATTTCTAAAGTACGCGTTTTGGCAAACCCAATTATTTCGATGTTGCTTGCTCTTCTCGTAGCTGCCAACTGTTCAGAATTTTTTAGGATTTGTTCCTAATTTTTGAATCTAATCTGAAAATCTGATATTTTTATAAAAAATCTGAATTTTCGTAAAATTTTTGATTTTAAAACAATCTTTTTTTCTGATCGCCACAAGCACGCATCCTGTGATTATTGTGCTAAAGTAATTTTTAGTAGATTTTTATTGGAAAATATTATTCCAATAGCTGTCTGTTGCTAATTATTTCACTAAATTATTATTTTTGAAAATATTTTTTTGTAGTATTTAAACACTTGCATCAGAAATATTTGTTTATGATGTAGATTATTATTTACTTGTTTTATAATTTGGCGATAAATAATTATATATTAATAGGTAATGTTTGTTTTTAATATATTATACCGGTATTCCTAATTATAAAATATTAATATTAAAAGTTTCCCACAAAAGATAGCGTTTTCTAGTTTTGTTTTACTAATTTACATATTTAAATATATGTCTATTAATGTTATGATTTAATAGTTAAATTTTTATCTTACTCTCGTAATTAGTGCATATAATTTTGTCGCATATAGTGTTCCTAATTTTTGATTCCTAAGGTTGGCAGCTATGTCTTCTTATTCTTTAGCCACCTTAAAAATATTAATATAATCGATGTCTAAATATTTTTATGGGGATAGTTTGAATTAAAAAATAGATTCAAATCTGTTTTGTACCTACAGTCTAGAAGCATTTTAGCGATTTGACAAAGTTTAAAAATACTTTCATTTTTTTCTGAATAAGAAAATGCTATTCAGTGTTTCCTTAACTTAATTTTACGAAGTAATACTTTCTTTAAAGAGTACTTCTTTTTCTGCGTAAGATATTATTTGTTCTTGTTACGACCATCTACGATCGTTTTTGATCATTTCTTTAATAATTTTACAAATTCTTAACTATAATATTTTCTTTTTAACTGAGTAAGAAAATATTGAGTACCAATCAATCTGAGTTGCTTCGGATGGTACCAGCTTGCTTGGGAAGTAAAGGTGGCCTGTGCGCAAAGCTGACCAGATTGCCATAATCATACCATTGATCTCAAAACTGGAGCCTTATCTTCCATGTCCTGCAACGAGCTGTTGCATTAGAGCTTTACTTTTGCTTTTTGAAAAACACTTTGTATTTTTTTCTGAGCAATCTACTCCCAGTTTTTTAATAATTTTACAAAGCTTAACAATATCTTCCTTTCAGAATAAGAAAATGCTCTTCTATTCCATTGTCATCGGTTCTTTATTTCAAGTGATGAGCATACAAGGCTTCAGTGGCAATGAAATGTTTGGTAAGCTATATACTTTACGTATTGTTTACGTATTTACGTATTGTTATATTTTAATAACAAATAAACAAAAAATTACTTGGAATGAAATTATAAATAATTTTAAACTTAAAATCAAATTATAAATAAATATTAGATTGCAAGATAATGACTATATATAATACCGACTAAACAAATCAACCAGCAATAAATTAAACAATTGATAAAGCATATGATTTTCCTTAATCATTGAAATATAATTTTCTTTCCCTTTTATATTAATACAATTATGATTCAATGTAATTTATTGTGATTTAATTTTATGGTTAGTTTAATTTTGAAGATATTTTCCTCTATCAATTGGCTAGCAATTTTATTTTGTGCCTAACCCAAGTGCGTTGTGAACAATTACAACAATTGAGAACGTTTCACCAAAAAATAAAGCATTCTTGTTTACCTTCAGAGACATTATATTTCATGGATAAATTACTCAAGAATGAAATGAAACTAATAATTTGAAAATATATTTTTGCTAAATCTAATCCATATTTAACTCAAATGGGTATTGTCTCAATATGCAATCTGTGTGGTTACTTTACGAATCAATAGTAGATGCTACTATATATATTAAAAGAAAATAGAGAGTACACCGGACAATGGTACTTAACAATAAAAAAACATTAGTACCATATACCGGGAAGTTGCATTTAACCTTAAAAATGTCAGTGTAGGGTATATGGAGCAAATGTATATCGGGAAGCGGCACTAAATAAGCAATAAAAAGAAAACTAAACAAAACAAAACAAAAAATATGGTCTATTACGCAGGTAGATCGCTTAATAGGAAATTATTCTCAAATATCTACGCTGATATCTTAAGTTTTTGAGTCTTATAAGTTGTATAGATAATTTAGTTTCCAAGTAGCATTTAGAGTTCATTCATTTAAATTAAGTTAACAATCTTTTTTCCAGTACGGATTTAAAGTAATATAATGCATTTTTACTTGACTTTTGCTAAAAAGAAATTACGTGTACAAATAGACTGGGAGCTAGCTCTGAGAACAGATTTAGAAAAAAAGCTTGTTTTTTATTTAAAATCATTTATTCAGTTAACTCTTTGTTTCGGGTAATTTGTTCTGGTTTATTCCAGTTATTTTCAAATTTCTACTAAACAAATGAGTTGAATAGGAGTAGTATATAAATGCGGGTCCTGGCGCACTTTCTCGCGCACGAAAACAGTTTTTAATAAAATCGTATAATTTAAAGAAAATTGATTAAAAAGGATTGAAAAACTTAATTTTTTATTAAATATTTATAAAATGATAAAAACTCCTTTTTCTTCTATTTTGGCCCTAGCACTTCCTCACGCACACCTTGGCGCACGCTCCCGCACGAAAACAGTTTTTAATAAAATTGTATAATTCAAGGAAAATTAAAGAAAAGTATTTTAATTAAATATCTATAAAATGATAAAAACACTTTTTTACAGAAAAAGTTCATTTTCCTATTAGAGTGTGCCTGGCCCACGCTTTGGCGCACGAGTCTACTTGTTGATTTAATTGTTTTTGTAGTAAATCCCCTAAGTAACCTTCCATTAAAATATATATGTATTTTCCATCAATTAATCCTTCATAATAAAATACATAACCACCTTCATTTATTTCTTGAATTGCTTTGTCCGAAAGTTCTCCATGTTTCTTTTTTAGAAAATATTCTTTCACATCATTTAGTGCCACATCTATTTTCACAACTACACTATTGTCATACTTTGTTTTTATTTTTCTCAATGATATCAGTTCATATAACCCCGGCTTTAAATCTTTCAATTTGAATATCGGGCTGTCGCTTCTGAGACTATTGAATTCTTCCATTTATTTAAGAACATTTTATGGAACATTTTCATAATGTCCTAAATTCTTGTCCTATAATACTTTGTGTGAATTCCATCTTCTAAAATATATCGCTTATCATCTGATGCTGATAGAGATTTTTTATTTACTTGAACTGTAAATATTTCATGCTTAGTACTTCTAATTAAATTCATAGTTCTATAATAATCGCTTTTCTCGCTGTCTAATAAACATTCTTTATAATCTTCGAAGGAAATTCTATTTTTAACCACACATTTTTTTACACCTTTAGATTTTTTTATGACTTCTTCTTCAACTTTTAAGGCATACATTTTTGCTCTCAATCCAATAAACTCAGTCATTATTTTACCAGAATTATCATCTTTCATTTTACCCAATACTTTTTTATTTATTCTTTCAATACCATATTTATTATTTTCTGGATAATCGGAAGTATCGAAATAATCGATCATTCCTTTCAAATCATCTTAAAAATCATTTGTTTTTATATCATATATATAACTATCTGTATCCTGATATAATAATTTAATGTTTCCCCATATTTAGGCTTCATAACTTTATAGTGAAAGTCGTACATTAGATATTTGGATAAATCTAAGATACTCATTCCAACATATATGGGCTTATCAAAGAAGACTTTGGTTTTGTTCATATGAATAGCAACTAAATTCTCTTCAAAAATGGTTCTTCCTTTAAAATTTGGTTTAGCAATGAGTTTTTGAGCCTTCTTTGCATTACAACACAGTTTTATATCTACTCTTTTTCTAATATTTTCCATAGTTTTTCCAAACACAGAATTGCTCATAAGTTTATAAAAATCCTTTTCAAACTCATTGGCTGCTTTAGTTCTCATTTCCGTGTTTAAATCTATGTATTTCTTCAGCCAAGGAGATTGTTTAAATTCAAGAACTCTGTGTACTTTTTTAAGTTTTAATCCCATTTTTAAATATTGTTTTAAATTTCTATAATGAATAACGTAGTTATCTTTATCATATAAGGTTGTCAGCAATTTTGATTGTTTAGACTGCGAATCTGGTATTCTATTCTCAGGTGCTAAAGGTAAATCTGAATGTTTATCATGTAATTCTTTTGGATATTCTAAATCTACTTCTAATATATAACCTTTTTCAGATTCGCTGTCTGAGGTTTCTAAAATATCTTCAATATTATCTGGTTGTATCCATTTAAATTCATTATATGGTAAATATTGACTCATTGCCCATTCGTATAAATTATTGGCGTCTAGGTACATTAAATAATTAGATTCTTTACTTTTGTCATAGTCTTTCATATATTTATTATTAGCTTTCCCGTACCTATGACAGCATTGAGATATCCCACCTCTGGTTCCTTTCTCAAGCATTAAAATCATATCATAATCATTCAGTAATTGTAATTTGATTCCAGTTGATTTTAGCATAGCATCCCACGATAACCCAGGAGCAGTGAAGTACCATGCTGGATCTAGTTTATAGGTTTTCAGACAGACATCCCTAAAATTTTCAAAAATATCTGAAAGTATCAAAACATCTGTTTTAACATATAAATCTGAATACTCACCCATATTTTTAATATTGAATGACTTCCATACATTTTGTGCATGTTTATAATCCTCATCCGTTATATCGCATTCATTCAATTTGTTATAAAATTCTTCTTTTTGAGGTAATTTATTTATTTCACATTTTTCCCTTGAATCCATGTAATCATAAGGATATACACCTTTTCTAATAACTAGGTCTAATTGACTTTTGAAAAATTTAGATGTTTCTCTACATTGTTCTTTAGTTAAATTTTTGGATAAACTATCCAAACTACTAGCCATAAATCTAAATGAATCTAAAAATCTAAGTTTCATAGATCCAATATTTTTACTAAATGATATATATTTTTCTTCAGTATTTGGAATTAAATCAATATTTTTTTCATCATAACCAAGTCCTTTAACGAATAAATGAGCATCATATCCTGTTAAATTATGAATAAAAACTGGTACAAAGTTTGGATTTTTATAGTTTAAATTACATGATTCATGAGCTGGACCTCTACATTTATCGGTTAAATGATCTCTTACCTTTACTTTATCTATTATCTCACTTTTGCATATATGACATTTATTATTTTTTTCAAAATGCCTTTCTTCATCTTCACTCATTTGAAGTGGTCTGATATTTTTATAAATTTTTTCAATTTCTTCTGTTTCTTCTTTTAACATTTTACAAAATATATTTGTAGCATCTGGTCCCCTATAAATAACTGGATCTCTATAATACTGATGTTCATATTTTATGTAATAAGAGAAACTCATTGGTTCATGTTTTTGATATTTCATTGTATAAGAGCTCTCTGGATTTGGTTGGCAGTTATCAATTTTTCTTGTCAAACATTCAAAATCTGCATAAATTACGAATGGTACTCTCAATGAATGATTATATTTTGAAAATTCAATAAATTTATTTTTATCAGGCATCTGAATCTTTACAGCTTTATTATTTTTACAATCAACCATATGAGTTTCAAGTTTTTTTGCTGAATAAAAATAGGTTAAGCATCTATCACACAAATAGATTTTACCTTTATGGTTATTTTGTTGGGAAACAACCAATTTACTTAAATTTTTAACCCAGCATAATGATTTTCGAAATAAAAGAGATTGATATGTTTCTCTAACTTATTTTTTGTTATTCGTAATGTATAAACAGAACTATCATAACTGTAAACATTGATCGATATATTATTTAATTTTTCCAATTTTTGAATATCGCTCAGAGCCACTGGAAATTCAATTCCTTTAAAATTTAGTTCCTTTTCAAATTGCATATATTTTGCAACTCTTTGTGCATCTTTCTCAATAGGATGCAAAGCAGATAAAACAGCCCACATAAAACATTTATTGTCTTTATTTTTAACATTTATTACAGCTTTTTCATTCTTTATTTCCTCTGGCAATTCTACATATGATGAATCTCTAAGAGGATTATATTTATTAATTCTAAGTTCTCATCTATTAATTTCATTAATTTTCCAACCTGATCCTTTAGTTTCAAACTCATCCATTTCTCTCAATCAACAATTTATCAATTACTTCATCATAATATTGATTTAAATCAGTTGATTTCAATATTATCTCATTAATAGTTTTAAACGAAAATTCTTGAAA